ATAAGCATCCTCGGTTTATATCCACATGCTTACCAAATAAGCATCCTTGGTTTATATCCACACGCTTACCAAATAAGCATCCTCGGTTTATATCACACACTTACCAAATAAGCATCCTCGGTTTATATCACACACTTACCAAATTAGTATCCTTGTTTTCCATACATTTGAAAGTTTTGCATTTAACGAATACGGTCTTATAATATCTTATTATTATTAGCACTTATTATTTTCTGTGTTCTGTACTTATCATTTATATTAATAGATTGAATATCTGTTTCAGCCGCATTTTCTCTGCAAAATAGGTATAATAAAACAAATGGAAATGCATGAGAAAGTTATATGTGGACCCCAAGAATATACCAGATTTTATACCTTTTACTTAGAAGCAGGACTTGCTCTGTATATTTCACATTTAGATATAAGGACATACAGATAGGCAGCCATAGAGATAGATAGACAGACAGAGCATAATAATGGGCATGAAAGAAACTGAAAGAGACTGTCGAGCCTGCCACCAGTCTTCATCCTTTTACCTTCAATTGAAAAAGCAGCTGTGCTCATTGTTAATAAAACTCTTTACGCAACATAACTCTTATAGCCCATTGTAGTGGTTATAGTGCCAGGACTAATTTGTCAAACTGCTTTAAAATGGTTAGAAAGCCTGTGGCTGCAGCCCTGCTTCCTGCAAGGTGAATACAGAAAATTCCAGTGAGATGTGCAGGGTAATGCTCATTGGTTGAGAGTGTCCTTTCTGCTGAGTTTTTTCTGCATAATCCTCTATCAGACCTGCTTGGCTCAATTAAGACATCCTGCTTCTCCTGCAGGAGAACACTGGATGTGGTACATGTGTCGAGGATGTGTTTCTTTTATTTATAAATGTATTTTCTATGTCTACTGTATATGTACTATTGCATTTACATTTGGATTGAATACATCTCCTGTTAGATTTGCAGCAATAGATGTGTTTCCATGACATTTTTGAAAAATCTCACTGTTCCCTTCTTGATAATATTGTAATCAATAGATAATTTACCCAATACCCAGAACTGGAGCCAGACATCGTGTAAAGACTAATTGTTTACTATATCGTCTTATCTGTAAATTTTAATATTAAAAATGAATTCGGATGAGCGAAGGCTGAGAGTCGCATGACAACGTTTTGCCAATCTGTCGCTTCGTCCCTAAATTCACCTTCATTTCCAATGAGGGAAAATTAAGAAAATGTTTTAATTCAATAACTTGCTCTCTTGGATCAACATTCAGTGAAACAAGATCTCCAGCTGGTCAGCGATTAACAGTTTACGACAAGTAATTCCGTGTAACCGAATAAGAGCATTGACTGAACGATTTTACATATGTTAATAGTTAGTGAAAAAGAAACACATGGTAAATGTGGGCAAAATTAAAGTGAACTGATAGAATGAAAGTAACTTTGTGCAGAGTATTTATTTTTATGATAGCTAGATCGATAGAATAATTATTTTGAATTTAAGAATAAGAATCTGTACACATTCTGAGCAACAAATGTTTCCCTTACTCGGGTGTCAAGGAGTGTTTTAACCCCTTATTTACCAGGCCGGTGAGCAAGTCACTTGAGTGTTTCATTTTGAAATACTAATTAACAGATTGACACGAGCCATATGGAACCATAAATATGCTCTTATTCCAGACAAAATAACAAATGTGTTGCTTGGGATTGTCTAGAAGAGAGGGTTTGCCCTCCAGAATTTATGGTTCTGAGTTTAGAACAGCTGCAAGGGAACTTAAACAAATAGGAACTTAAGGAGCGAAGAAAAAAAAACAGAATGCAAGAGAATACTGAGAATGGACAACATCTAAAGTAGCCTGTCCTTCGCTGCGTCCCTGCTCACATCTCAAGCTGGTTTTAGCTCATCTTGTGCCATTACAAAGCCAATCAGGGCCATTTGCACATCAGACTGATCTCACCCAAGAGATCAGAAATGCAGCCAGTCTCTCTCTGCATGAGAGAAACAGCAAAACCATTCGATTGTTTCGGCTTCGTCAGGGAAGTAAAACTGAGACCCCTCTAGGCACCGTGAACAAGGGATGCACATTTGGATTACCCTTTAAACTTATTTTTTTCTGAACTTTAGGGGTTTTTTTTTTTTTTTTTATAATTCTTTATTTTTGGTGCGGTTTCAAGTATACACAAGCTTGTCTGGACGGCCACTTTCATAATAATTCAGGGTAAAAAAAAAGTAAGATAATAGGTGATAAACACGACATCACAGTAAACATTTCGCACAATTTTTTATATATCAGAGGTGAAGTCCCTGGGGAGAAGAAGGGGATGAGCTGTGTAGCTTCTGCGTTGTGAAAATTGTTTTTCTCTCCCTGATTGGTTTCGAGTAGCATACTATGCTATCAGAGATTACGTGGAGGCTGAGTGTTAGTATACTAGGTGTTCCTGGGTGGGCTAATGTTAGTTTATGAAGGTGCTAGTAGAGTATGTTGTTGCAGTTTAATAAATCATGAGAACGATGGTGAGGAAAGCGGGTGGGTAGCCAAGGTACTAGTAAGGGTATCATGAGGCTTGTCTTGGCTCACCTTGCAGGTAAGTACCCCTAACCAAGGGGGCATTGGGTGGGGGTTGTACACCTCTTGTGGGTGCGCCTAGTGTGTGTGTGCGAGACGGGTCTGAGGCTGCTCTTTTCTGGGCCTGATAGTATATGGCATGAATAATAGTAGAGTAGCGAAACAGTAGGTCAGGATAGTTCATAACAGAGGTAAGAATAGCGTAAAATAAAAAACAAGAACATTGGTGGTCTGGCAAAGTTCGTTCCTCGATGTGGAGTCGCTTCGCCCTCTTCTTGATGTGGCTCTCGGTACGTATGGGATCGCTTGAACTTTAGTTTTTATCACCTGTTCTGTAAATTGAATTTTAACCACACACAGAAGGCTCCTGCAAGGTCTAGCAAACTATTAACAGAAAATTATAAATTCTAAATTAAACAGAATTTGCCATAAAGCAAGTGTAAACATTGGATGACTCTTTACCGGAAGTGTTTAGGAAGGCTGTGCAAGTCAAATGCAGGGAGGCGTGAGTAGGGCAGAACAATCAAAGTGATTTAACTCCTAAATGACAGCGAATTAAGCTGTGAGACTGCAGGGGCATGATCTATACATCAACACTGCTTCATTAAGCTTGAGTTATTTTTTCACTTTACATTTTCATTGAGTTTAGTAAATAAGAAAACACAGTCTATAAAAAAACAAACACTTTTATCTCTTTGTGCTTCTCGATGCGTATTCATTGCCCACACTCTTTTCCAAATATGGCTTTGCAAAGGTTAAGTGCTGCTGTCAGCAAAAAAATGTGCTTTAACCCCTTAAGACCGCAGGGCGTACTATTACGTCCTCTAATAGGCGGCTCTAAACGCCGCCGGGCGTAATAGTACGCCCTCCGGTCTTTCTGTACTTACCCGGTCGCCGGCGGTCCCACGCCGGCGATCGCGGTGGGGGGGACTCCCAGGGAACCCCCCGCGGCACGACCGTCCTCCAGGAAGCCCCCCGGCCGTGTGAGAGTGGGGTCCTAGCGAGGACCCCACAATCACATGGCCGGGTATAGCTGGCTTCTGTATTGCCAGCAGGGGGCTGCCTGTAATTACAGGGGGTCCCCCTGCTGGCTGAAAATAAAAGTAAAATAAGTTAAAAGTGTAAAAAAATAAAATTATATATACTTAGATCATATATATATATTATATATATATGATCAAAGTATATATATACACATATACATACACACATGTACAGCGTCTAGTGTATTTTACTATTAATATATATATAATTATATATATATATTAATATCAAATTACACGTAGACTGATACTGATTAAATATATATATAATTGTTATATATATATTTATATATATTATAAAAAAAATTAAAATGTAAATACGTTAAATAAAATTACAAAAATAATTAAAAATAAATAATTAAAAAATATATAGATGTGTGTTATTTCGTTCTAACTGTATTGTGAAATTAATATATATATATATATCAAAATACACATAGAACGAAATAATATATATATTTATACACATAAATATATACGTATATATCATATATATATACCTATATATAAATAAAAATATTTTAAAAAAATTATATAGATATATACATATATATACACATACGTATATATATACATATATTGATTCTACATATATATTTATGTAATATTTTTACATAATTAGGTATCTTAATTAATTACAATTAGCAGGACCTGCCTGACAACCCATGCCGAAAGTAAAGGGAATTTAATTTGCTAGCACTATATTTAACCCTATAACTTTTCGAGACACCATAAAACCTGTACATGGGGGGTACTGTTCTACTCGGGAGACTTCGCTGAACACAAATATTAGTGTTTCAAAACAGTAAAATGTATTACAACGATGATATCGCCAGTAAAAGTGACGTTTTTTGCATTTTTCACGCACAAACAGCATTAAACGGACAATATTATTGCTATGATACTCTTTACTGTTTTGAAACACAAATATTTGTGTTCAGTGAAGTCTCCCGAGTACAACAGTACCCCTCATGTACAGGTTTTATAGTGTTTTCAAAAGTTACAGCGTCAAATATAAGGCTTGCGTTTCATTTTTTTCACATTAAAATTCGCCAGATTGGTTACGTTGCCTTTGAGACCCTATGGTAGCCCAAGAATGAAAATTACCCCTATGATGGCATACCATTTGCAATAGTAGACAACCCAAGGTATTGCAAACAGGGTATGTCCAGTCTTTTTTAGTAGCCACTTAGTCACAAACACTGGCCAAAATTGGCGCTTTTTGCATTTTTCACACACAAACAAATACTAACGCTAACTTTGGCCAGTGTTTGTGACCAAATGGCTACTAAAAAGACTGGACATACCCCATTTGCAATACCTTGGGTTGTCTACTATTGCAAATGGTATGCCATTATGGGTGTAAATTTAATTCCTGGGCTACTATAAAGTCCCAAAGGCAACGTAACCAATCTGGCGAATTTCAATTTCAAATGTAACGTGCTATATTTGACCCTGTAACTCCCCAAAACGCCATAAAACCTGTACATAGGGGGTACTGTTTTACACGTGAGACTTTGCTGAATACAAATATGTGTATTTTATTGCAGTAAAAGCAAACAGTATTATGACACTGACCGTTAAAATGTCATGTAGAACTAAAAAATCCAAATAAATCGTATTTTCTCCCATTTTTTTCACATTAAATTATGTTTCATAGCTAAATATTTGATATTAAATGAAAGCCCTGTTTCCCCTGAATAAAATGATATATAATAAGGGTGGGTGCATTTACTATGAAAGAGGTGATTACGGTTGGACAGACATGTAGCGCAAATGCCAGGTTTTGTTTACATTTTGTTTTGTTCACAACGTGTACATTTGGCTCCGTCCTTAAGGGGTTAAAGAATGAACTTAAAAGAACAAACATTGAGATATCTGTAGTGTGCTTTCCCACATTGCTGGCAAATGTAGAGATTGCACAATATCTTTAGATTCTGTTGTTTTTTGGGGAATTTTTTTTTTACATCTGAGTGATATTGACATACAGATGTAACCTCTCCCTATTATGTTATTTGATGTACCACCGAACATATGCCCTTAGCTAAAATAAATTGTGATTGATCATATTGATGCATTATGGGAATGTGAAAGATTTGCATCTCTTGATGCCATTCAGATGGAAAAATAAAATCAAAGAAATTAATCTTTCACAATTTATATACAGTGGGACCTCGGTTTACAAATTTATTTCGCAATACAAAGCAAGTTTCCCTAGGATGCATTGCACCTGGGAGGTTTATAGCACTGCCCTCTGCATGCTGGAGCCTGTGGATAGAATGTAGCGTCTAGAGTGGAGGTGTTGGAGCGGCTTTTGCATTGAGTTTTGGAGCCATTCTGGAAATTGTTTGCAGTTGTTTTGGGACTTTTTGGTGCATTTCTCAAGCTGTGGAAAGGTAGAGAGCTGAGCTTCATTGTTTGCATGCCTTTTATTGTGTGTTCTGCATTGTGGGTTGGTTTCCAAGCCTCCAGAACGGATTAATTGGCTTTCAATGCATTCCTATGGGAAAACGTGTTTCGGTTTACAAATTTTTCGCACTAAGAAACATCCCGGAGAACGCATTAAATTCCTAAACCAAGGTCCCACTGTACTTTTAAGAATTTGACTAGCATACTGTTAGGGAATATGGAGCTTTACATTGATTTTTTATTTTAGATCTTTTAGAAAATGTTTTTGGTTTTCTTTTTACATTACTTGATATGATAACATTATAAATCTGGTTAGAGCATTGGAAATGTCACTGTCTTGGAACTAGGAAACCCAGGTTTGATTCCTCACCACTAAGTGTCTACCTAATTCAAATCCGTATAGATTGTAAACTTGTTTGAGCAGGGCCTTCTTCACCTCTAAATATCCCCTTTTCTATATTTGTAAAGTGCTGTTGAATATGATGGCACTATATACATGATAATAAAAATTATATCTTGTAACTTATTTAAGGGCAGCACTGTATAATGGACAAATGATTTTATTTGAGTCAACCACAAAAAAACAGAGGTCTGTGAAGGTTGAAATTGTTAAACTAGGTAGAAACTTGGTAGAATCCATGTGTGTTCAGGTAATTTCAGTTGTGGTGTGATAAAACCCTTATGATGATGTTATGTTTCAGCTTTAGAAAGATCTCACTGGTGAGAAATGATTGCATCTTCCCAGAAATGGAAGATAAGGACGCAAGATTGGCAGGTTATCCGGGCAGAATGGTTGGACAACGAAAGGGCCTGTGCCCTTTTCATCTCATCTTTAAGGTGGATGTCCAAAGGGAGTTGTTTGTCTGTTCTGCCAGCTCTGAGGATACCTCCGGTACTACGCTGCACTGATTAGGGTAATTTCTCAGGTATCCCCAGATTGAGAGCATGAGAGAACAAATACACGATGGTGGGACAGAAGTCCAAAATGGGGAAAGTCCTGCCACATCTTGGACAGTTGTGAGGTATGTCATGTATAGGATAACAATTAAAGGATTGGGAGAAAAAGATGGTTTCTCTTTCCAACAAGCAGAAAGGCTGGAAGAAGAGTTCCCACCACTCCCACAGTCTTGTTTATATATTAGATACTTCTAGCACTGGGGACCATGTAGTAATAATATTCTTTATGACTTCAACTAGATGTAATTTGGAGATCAAGTATATCTGAAGGATTTAACATTAATCTGAAGCAAATAATAAATGGCAGTAGAAACAGATGATAGTTTTTCTGATGACTATTGGCAGATACTGAGTGGGTCATTCTAGGTTCAGAGTACACAACTGGCTATTTTAATATAGGGCTTGGAAAAGGTGTTGTTTTTTTTAAGATCATGCCGTACTCAAAACAGAAATTGGTCTAGTCCATGGTCTGGTCCAGAAGGCGCTAATCTAGATTTGAATATGCAATTAGCTTTTTCATAACTGTATTATTACTAATGTCTATATATAGTCCCCTGGATAAGGGCGCTTTGTCAATAACCTTATAAATAAATAAACATGTATATATTTTGTGACTATATAGTCTTTCTTTTTTTCTTTTTATCGAATGAATATCTCTGACAATAACATGGGGGGTACACAACACTTAAAACATGTTTAAATATTATCAAACGTTTTTATTTTTTCCTTCGGGTTCTTTTTTTTATATGGTTTGGGGTATAAGCAAAGCAAACTTCATTTGGCCAGTAGTGGAGCTGGGTAGATTAGTATAAAGCTAGGGTCATTTGAAGTTTATTCATAAAACTAACTCCTGTGACTCAATTCTGCTATTTCCTACTTGGAAATTCCCAGTTTAACAAATAAACTAATTTTCTCACGTATTTCCCCCAAATCAGCGCTGCGTCAGGCAAATGTATACTGAGCACTCTGAATAATTGGGGAATGCAGTTAACATATTTAACCTCCTTTTTGATTCTCGTTGTTGCAGCAATAATATTATAATTTGCAGATTTTTAAAAACATGGAAAAAAAATCTGCCTATCAGGAAAGAGGAGGGACTTTGTGTTCTAAGCACAAGATGTGTATTGTACGAATATTAAATATTTTTTAGAATATCTGACGCTTTACAAAAAACAAAAATACATATTTTATGAACAATTGTATTCTCTGTTATTTATTTTTTTGTTGTGATTTTTTTAGTGAAACACTTCAACAGTAACAGAATTATTTTAATAGAGTGCACTACTTATACCTCAACGTTTGATGGTAATGGTAGAATTCTGAAAGACAAGCAATCTATACTGTTTGTTTAGCACTGAATGAAAAAAAAACAGCTTGACACCATTATACAAGTAAAATACAGTGTTTGCTAATCACAACCATAAAGACTAAAAATGTAATAAATAGTTTATACATAATGAAACATTAAGATGGAGAATAGGCATATTTTGAAAGATAAAACAGCTTAATAAAACTTTGGAAAAACATACTTCCATTCTTTTTAAACACAATATTCTTCACTACCCAATGACAAAGCAATTCAAACTCTGAGGAGGCGCACCTCAAACATTCCTTACTGGAACAAGTTAAGTTAAACGCTGCAGCGATACACTTTCATTCTGCCAGGCTCACATTGCAGCAGTAATGACTGCAGTAGTTAAGGCCATTCTAGGATTAAGATATGATTGACACCGACTGATGTTTTCTGAACTATAAAAACATTCTGCAAGAATTATTCTAAAGAAGAAAAAAAATGGATGGGGTCTGGCATGAGTGGGCGTTTCAAAATACCATAAAGTACCACTGAATTTTTTTTTAATGTTTGAGGCAGAAAAACTGTCAATTTTGAGTAATGAATCCAGACAAATGGCAAAATGATTGTTTTTGCAGGACACCCTCCAATCTGTGATGACATACTTATGTGTACTGTTAAAACAACATCGGCCAAAGTTTAATAGGTGTTCTCAAAGTTATTCCATTTTACAGTATTTTTTATTGTTAGAATGGCTTAAAGAGACACTATAGTCACCAAAACAACTTTAGCTTAAGGAAGCAATTTTGGTGTATAGATTATGATCCTACAGTCTCACTGCTCAAATCTCTGCAATTTAGGAGTTAAATCCCTTTTATTTCTGTCCATGCCGCCCTAGTCACACCTCCCCTGGCTGTGACTCACACACCATGCATGGAAAAAAATGGTTTCACTTTCAATTAGATTAGAATTTGCAATGAAGGAAGTAAACATTAGCTGACTCTTTACAGGAAATGTTTCGGAAGGCTGTGCAAGTCCCATGCAGGGAGGCGTGACTAGGGTGCATAAATAAAGTGATCTAACTTCTAAATGGCAAAGAATTGAGCTGTGACACTGCAGGGAAATGGTCTATACACCAAAACTGCTTCAATAAGCTAAAGTTGTTTTGGTGACTATGGTGTCCCTTTAAGGTGGAAAGTGAGAAATGGTGGATATAAGGTATATGGCTGTTTGTTCCTATTATATATTCATTTTAAATATCCTAACCCTTGTTATGGTCAACAAATTATCTTTTTGTTTCTAGCTTTATGGGAAAGTCGTTTAGCAGTTATTTAATAAAATGGAAAGTGCGGAGGAATGAACTGCAAATGTTGATCTAGAATATAAACAATAGAAGATAACTAAATTGGAGAGTTTTTTCCCTTGTCAATTCTTTACAATTCCTAAATAAGTGAAAACATGTTTTAATCAATAAATAGTGATGAGTGGTGAATTTAAAACAGAACTTCAATTGTTGGGCTTTTTTTTTTGTCAAGATTTTATTTTCCACAGGTATGCTGTATCAGCCTAAATTTGAAATGCACACATTTCAATTTGGAAGTTTCATTTTCTTAATAATAAACCTTTAGAAATCAAAGTCTATGTAATGTCCCTGGCAAACTTGTTATAAGTAGACAGATACAACACACTGTAACACTTTGAAAAAGCCTTGCTAACAAGTGAAACGCGTTAGTGTTTTATGCAGTCTTTTTTTGCTATATTGTTTTATTTTATTAATCTCCAATAAAGATAGCGAATATTAGCTATTTTGGTGCCTTCCAGCCTATCCTTTTTAACGTCACAATTTCATCATTAAGAACCTGAGGACTCGCAAGTGATATCCTTGGTGGGGATTATTCCACCTACGCTTCCTATACTGAGCAATATTCCCTTTGCTCCCCGCATGTGAGTATACCTCCACTTTTTATCCTAGTTTTATTCCAGACTATACAGGGAGCACTATATTGTGTTTTTATTTCTCCTCCTATACACTGAGGATACCGGTTTGTGGCACTGACACCAGAACACCCTGACCCCAAAGAAGCCTCTGAGAGTACACCAGGACCATCATCATATCCTAGGACGGGGATTGTACCCTCCAGGCGCATATATCTGGAGCTGAATATAAGCTCCAGAAAATTGTAAGTGCAATATTTTTTTCTTCATTTATCACTATCAAGCAATTCAACATACTACACTATATCCATGTCGTCTCTTCTCTCCCCTATATTTCACTGAGCTTGAGAAGACTACTATAGGCGCTGCTTCCTGACACTACCTTCTATAACTACCATTCTGCCAGAAAAGAAGAGACTTTAGTTCCAGGGAAGTTCTAGCAGCCTTATCACAAGCACTAATACATTCCATCCCCCAATTTCTTACCTGGGGAATAACTATCCACACATTCTCACAGAGAATATTAGTAGTTTGATAATAAATATCAATCTTTTCTTTAACTTATACAAAGGCTATATACAATCTAACTATAAAGTAGAACTGTCACATATCTGGAAGTGACAGCTATTTGTCCCCTTACCTCACAGTAATTGCTATTGAAGTTTTTACTGTAAATGTAAATAGTGAGGCAGATTTTAACGGAAAGGAACACTCAAAGCACCATAACCACTACAGAACACCTGTAAGCATAAAAAATGCACTTACCTCCTTCTGCGCTCAGGGTGAAATTGACAAACCGTAACGCTTCAGGCATGCGCATGCACCTAGGCACCTGCTAAAAAATTATATCCTTTCTTAGTTCTAATCTCGGGCATATGTCAACACATTTAGCACTGTAAGGGTTAAGTTAGCATGGTATGTTTCCACTGTGTCCAGCAAGTCATGAACTCCATGTAAACTAAAACTGTTAAAAATTGCAAAAGAAAAATTGTACATTTTAACTTTAGTTAAATATAGGGTTATACATAAGTCTAACATGTGACAATTCCACTTTAATCCCATAATGTTCACCATTTTGGACGCACTAAGAAATGTTACTATGTTAATTTGAAGAGACAGAAGCAATACAAAAGTAAAGGAATTCTGGCAAACTCAGTTTCCATGTAACTGTAACCACTCGGCAGAGGCATAACTACAAACCACGGGGCCCAGTGCGAAAATTAGGTCTACCCTCCCATAGGTCTACTCCCCCCCCCATTCATCTACTTCCCCCCCCATACATCTAATTCTCCCCTTCCCCAATATGTCCACCCCCCTCACCACAAACACATGCAGACAAACAGATACACATGCAGACACACACACACACACACATACATACAGACACACATACATAGAGACACACACACATATACATACAGACACACATACACACAGACATACACACACAGTGACACATACACATACATACAGACACACATACACAAACACACACATACATATATAGAGACACATACATACAGACACACATACAGAGACATACATACAGACAAACATACACTAACACACACACATGCAAAATGTTTAAGTCACCCTCCTCTTTCCTACCTTTTAGGTGCAGGAGGGTGACTTTCCCTGGGGTCCAGTGGTGGCTCAGGCTGAAGGGAGTCAGAGTTCCCACTCCTTCCTCCCGCGTGGCTCTCTCTAATAGCTGGGAGGAGTGGCTGTCACTTCCCCCCATGTTTGATGTCATCACAGGGAGCCAGGTCGCGCTGTTAAAGCAGCGCTGAGCGGGGCACTCTGGATATTCATTGCTATCAGGAGGCCCTAACAGCATGGGCCACCCGATGGACCCTTTCAATGTGGCCCGGTGGTTACACTGCATGGGCCGGGGCTGCAACACATGGCGGCGGGCACCCGGTCTCAGGGTTCTGCAAGGCGGCCGAGCCCCCTGAAATGATTGGCCCAGTCACAGCTGCAACCCCTGCAACCACGGTAGTTCCAGCAGTGCCACTTAGTAAGTCTTTGTAAGCCTTAAACAATGGTTTAATGGTTTATTGAAGGAAGCAGGTGAACTCTGTTAAAGTGCTGTTAAAGCGCTGCAGTGCTGAGCGGGGCACCCTGGATATTCATTGCCACCAGGAGGCCCTAACAGCATGGGCCACCCGATGGACCCTTTCAATGCGGCCCGGTGATTACACTGCACGGGCCGGGGCCACAACACATGGCGGCAGGCACCCACCTGAAGTGATGGGCCCTGTCACAGCTGCAACCCCTGCAACCGCGGTAGTTCCAGCAGTGCCACTCAGTAAGTCTTTGCAAGCCTTAACCAATGGTTTAATGGTTAATTGAAGGAAGCAGGTGAACTCTGTTTTATATATATATATATATTATTATGTTTTTCATAAAAAGTTTTTTTTATTTTATTGAACTTATGATGAAAAAACTCAATAGTTTTTTATTTGTATTCTTTCTTGTCAGTGCTGATTTAAATCTCTCTCAAGACATTCATTAAAGTGTGAATTGTCAGGAATTTAGAGTTATTTCTAAGTAAATTTTACATTTTGGGACAAAATGGCTGAAGTGAAAAAATTCTCTAAACCAGCTAGACTTTCAATTCAGCTAGTTTGGAGTGAAATTTAAAATTCACAGGTTTATTCACTAAACTCTTAATTGCAACTAATTGAAATTTGAATTGCAGAATGTGTGCTAAAATACCTAATTTGGAGAAATCTCGAACTTAGCTATAGTCAAAGTTTGGCCATTTTAACTTTTTTTTGTTTGTTTGCTCATTTTTTTGCTCTTTGGTTTCAATTCGGATTTTATTCACAAAACAGCTGATTGCAGCAAACTCAAATCTGAATGGCAAAATAAAGGCTAAAAGAACAAACTGTGACTTTTTTTCTAATTCGGCTAATTTATCCTTCAATTTTCATCCGACAGGGAGGCTAACGCGCATGTGCATTGCTTCAATGCTTTCCAAAGGGGTTTTACTGACGCTGGATGTCCTAATGCAGAGCGTGAGAACATCCGGTATCGGTTAGGCAAACAAAAGTCACCTAGCAAGCAGGAAGTGCCTCTAGTGGCTGTCTGATTGACAGCCACTAGAGGCAGTCTTAGTACTGCCATGTAATCATTGCCGTTTCTCAAACTTGCTAAAAGAGCCAAACCAGGATTCGAGTTGAGTTGGAGAAATTTGCGAAATCAACTAAATTTTTTTATATTTGGCTGCCCAGTTTTTTAGCTGCCATTTGTAATTTAGTAAATAAACCCCTTGCTGTTAATGTAACCAGTAATAAACTAAGGAAAGTTAACCAGGCGTTGTTTGATGAGCCTTGGAAAAAAAAAGAAATCGGTTACCTATTGCTTAAATACATTTTTACACTCAAGATAAACACATTTTTCTCGCAATTATGCCCCATTCTTCCACATGATGACCTTCAGTCTGAAAATGAACATTTAAACTTTTCTAAAAAAATACGGAAAGTGTACATAGAGACTTGTATTTTCGTGACACTAATTGTGTCTTTTCTTGCAGTTCTTTACCATATTTCTTGGAAAACAGCAGCTGTGTTTGTTCAGATCGAAGCATATGCATGACTTGATGATAGAGTAATCTGTAAGAATTCCTAGAGTCGCCATTCTTTATGGCTTCTGAGAATAACAAGCAGTGTGCTTTGTGGGGATAAAGAACCATAAAGTCATGAGTAATTATTACATTACCCCTATGGATATTGTATTATCTGTCTAGTAAAGACATTGTTAAACAATCATATGTTGCATTATTATAACACAATACAGAAACAGTCCTTATTATTGTATTATATATTGTCTTCACACAGAATGTTTTGATTTTCTGGTAGTTGTTATTAATGCATATTAGCCTGTCGATAACAGGACAACAATGAGAGAAACCATAATGTATTATTAGCGCTTTACAAATATACAAAGGGGTACTTAAAAGGTGAAGAAGGTTCTGCTCAAATGAGGGTTTGAGGTAGGTGGATATTTATCCTTAGGTGTCTTATCCAAGGACACTTACTGGTAAGGGTTCTAAACAGCCTATTTATATTTATTTTAAAATATTTTATACTGGAATGTCCATACTGTTAGCAGTCACAGCATGATTTTAATTGCTATAATATACATTTCAAAGAGATGAAATCATGTTTCTGAATTGGAGAATTTGGAATCTACTCATAAGCTATTACCCCCTAAACCAGGGGTCGGCAACCATCGGTATTCCAGACATTGTGCACAGAGCAGCCAGGGCTGAAGCGCCCTACGACAGTTTCCTGGTGTCCTCAGGTGTGCTACACTGGAGAACTAAATCAAGATGGTGGGATATAACCCCAAAATTGGGACTGCTCTACCAAAATCGTGACTTTTAGTGGAACATAGTTTCCAAGTGAAGACATGGAGAGGCCAGCAGAGGCACAGCATTAGTTGTACTTATCAAAAAGAGGAATGTTTGTGCATTTAAATAAAATAATATTGTGGCACTCATATTTTGTCATATTCTGAGTGATCCATATAAATATATCAAATTAGACAAAGTATAGTAAAATGTATGGATTTATAATATAGAGAGAGAACACTGGTCATAGTGTTTTGATTTTATGTTTCCCTTATTCCCTCTGTAATGCGTTCAGGATAATTATTTTTGTGTGAATAGGTAGCTGTTTTAACTATCCATGCATGACATTACTTAACACCGTCATTAAGTAAATGTGGTGTTTTCTGCTCATGGTAACAGGGGAAAGTAAAAAGCTGTAAGGACCACCCTAGTTTGAAACCAACTCATCATTTACTCTAAGAATCCTCTGTAAAGAGCAAACATTTGGAAAACTAAATAAAAAGTGAAATAGGCGACACAGTTCATTGGATGAAATTTCCCCCCCCCCCCAAAAAAAAAAAAACCTGCCATCTTTTCTCGAAGAAGAAGAAGAAGAAATTAAACTCCTAAACTCCAGAACGTACTTTCTCTGTAGTCAGGTACCCTTTACGAACAATTAAAAATAAAAAATCCAATCACTGGATATGTTTCAACATTTTAACTACGCCTTTAATTTCTCACAGGAGCAAACATCCATTTTCTGAACCCAGGACAATTAATCACATGGAATTTAATCAGTAGGGTATGCTGGGAGTGTTTTTACAAAAAGAAACAACAAATGTGTACATTGCTACTATTATAACATCAAGTTGACTGAAACAAACACCTGAGCATTGAATAAATTGCTTGGCTCTCATTCTAGATTCATTTCTACTTTGAGAAATGTATTCACCAAAGAATTCACTAATGTTGATACTTTGCCAGCCTACGCTATGCGCACCCTTAGGTGTACAGGCAGTGAAACCATTTACAACGCATTTCATTTCACAGGTTCTATGCTGTAATATCTGTCATTTATGTTATTCAATGCACTACACTAGATCATTTATGTTTAACCCCTTAAAACCGGAGGGCGTACTATTACTCCCTATTCTAAGCAGCTCTAAATGCCGCAGTACGCCCTCACGGTTTTTGTTACTTACTCGGGATCCCAGGGAGTCCCCCGCGGCGGATCCTGCCCCCTCCGGTCCCCCCCCCCGGCCATGTGAGAGTGAGGTCCTTGTGAGGGTTAGCTGGCTGCTGCATTGCCAGCAGGGGGACTGCCTGTAATGACAGTTAGTCCCCCTGCTGGCTGGAAATCAAATCAAATAAAGTTAAAATCAGTGTAAAAAAACCCCCAAAATTATATACTTAGATCATATATATATATATGATCTAAGTATATATATACACATATACATACACACACATACACTGTCTAGGTATTTATATATATATATATATATATATTAATATCAAATTGCACGTAGACTGATATTGATTAAATATATATATATAATTATTGTTTTATATATATATATATATATATAATATAAAAAAATAATGTAAATACGTTAAAAATAAAAATTTTAAATAATGAAAAATAAATAATTAAAAAATATATAGATGTGTGTTATTTCGTTCTTACTGTATTGTGATATTAATATATATATTTATATCAAAATACACATAGACGAAATAATATATCTAGATATATAAATATATACGTATATATCACTATATATAAATAAAAATATTTTTAAAAAATTATATATATATGTATATTGACATATATATACACATACGTATGTATATATATATATATATACATATATATATATATATACATATATTAATTCTACATATATATTTATGTAATATTTTTACATAATTAGGTATTTTAATTAATTACAATTAGCGGGACCTCCCTGACAACCCAATGCCGAAAGTAAAGGGAATTTAATTTGCTAGCACTATATTTAACCCTATAACTTTCCAACACACCATAACACCTGTACATGGGGGGTACTGTTCTACTCGGAAGACTTCGCTGAACACAAATATTAGTGTTTCAAAACAGTAAAATGTATAACAACGATGATATCACCAGTAAAAGTGAAGGTTTTTTTGCATTTTTCACACACAAACAGCACTTACATGGAAGATATTATTGCTGTGATACTTCTTACTGTTTTGAAACACAAATATTTGTGTTCAGCGAAGTCTCCCGAGTACAACAGTACCCCTCATGTACAGGTTTTATGGTGTTTTCAAAAGTTACAGCATCAAATATAAGGCTTGTGTTTCATTTTTTTCATATTAAAATTCACCAGATTGGTTACGTTGCCTTTGAGACCCTATGGTAGCCCAAGAATGAAAATTACCCCTATGCAAATGAGGTATGTCCAGTCTTTTTTGGTAGCCACTTAGTCATAAACACTGGCCAAAATTGGCATTTTTTGCATTTTTCACACACAAACAAATATTAACGCTAACTTTGGCCAGTGTTTGAGACCAAATGGCTACTAAAAAAGACTGGACATACCCCATTTGCAATACCTTGGGTTGTCTACTATTGCAAGTGGTATGCCATTATGGGTGTAAATTTCATTCCTGGGCTACTATACAGTCTCAAAGGCAACGTAACCAATCTGGCGAATTTAAATTTCAAATGTAACGTGCTATATTTGACCCTGTAACTTCCCAAAACGCCATAAAACCTGTACATAGGGGGTACTGTTTTACACGTGAGACTTTGCTGAATACAAATATGTGTATTTTATTGCAGTAAAAGCAAACAGTATTATGACATTGACAGTTAAAATGTCATGTAGAACTAAAAAAATAACAAAATTTCTTATTTTCTCCCATTTTGTTTCATATTAAATTATGTTTCATAGCTAAATATTTGATATTAAATGAAAGCCCTGTTTCCCCTGAATAAAATGATATATAATAAGGGTGGGTGCATTTAATATGAAAGAGGTGAATAACGGTTGGACAGACATGTAGCGCAAATGCCAGGTTTTGTTTACGTTTTGTTTTGTTTTGTTCACAACTTGTACATTTGGCTCAGTCCTTAAGGGGTTAAAGAGGAACTTAAACATTATTCACAACATATAATTTGTGTTTAAACACAATAGTGAACTAAAAGTTAGCCTTGCAGTCAAAACATACCATGCAAGTGTGCAAGTATGGCTATATGGACTATAGAAAGAATGCCTGAGTGTGCATAAGTGTTCTGGAGCATTCTGGTACGACACACCATAAGTAGATCAGTGGTGCAAAGGTAAGTCCACTTTATACTTACCACTGTTACCCTATTCATTCAGTGGATATAAGGAACTGTCAGCGTAGCCGTTTCATCCCAGCATAATAGTGCTACATTAAGTGACTCATTGTGTCATTCTTGCAACATCATTGATGCATCATGTTCTGTTCCAATGTCACAAAAGTATGTCTTGCGACTGATTCAGACCACTTCCCCCGTAGCCACACTTTTAGCCCATACGATGCAGACATGGCATGCTTATTCTGGTTATCAACTTTAGCTGTCTGGGTTTATTGACTATTCTGACCTATCCAATCCTGATCTTTGCTGCTTCACCCTCTCTACCATTATTCTGTAAATCTTCAACCTCGTCTTGATGCTTGACCAAGCATCCTCTGTTTCATAAGTTTTGTAGAAATTGCAATGTTTCCATCCTCTAGTAGCTGTCTTCCAAAGAAGCATTTGATTGGCACAGTGCGGATAATTTGTGCAACTGCACACCAGCCTCCAAATGCTTGCCTATGGGGCAGCAATGTATTGTCTGAGATCATTAATCCTGGATTGTCTGAGATCATTGGTGAGGGAGTAAAGGTGAGTAATACTCACCTTTCAAGCCATCAAAATGCGGTGGTGGACACCAACATGGGTAGAGTAAAACAATAGAGTTATAGAGTTAATACACAATGCCATAGTGTTCCTTTAAACCCGGTTACCTCCAAGAAACAGTAATATTTTATTTATCTTTCCTAGATTTACGTGTTGGGACGTTATAATATCCTGTCACATCTAGAGAAGAGATAGTTGTGCTGTAATGGCCGACATGACCGGAAGATATCCAATTGATTTTTGTTTTTAGTGGATAATTGATATATCTTAAACCTGCTCATTTAGGGATTGGATCTGCAACCACCCGCCTTTAGATATTGACTATATGCATGTAAGATGGGCACGATCAGGTACGTCTCTTTATGCAGTCAAGATTGCTGATTGGTGGATAATCGATAAACACAAGGAAAATTATAAAATGAAAGAAAATCCATAAACTACTGTAGGCTCTAAAACACAATGTATTGCTGTTAAGGCATAAACACTGTTATATTACTGTGTAATAACTCACAAAATCATTTTCTTTAAATCATTTATTTTAAGATAATTTATTTATCTGCCTTTTCTTTCTCATTACTACTTATAAAACATCAAATGTACACTGGAATAGGGGTCAATGTAAATTGTACATATGTCCTGAAAAGGTTTGCCTCTGCTGTTTAAATTTTGGCTAAACTTTTAGTGGGTAATTTTCTGTCCAATTGCATGTTGGGATTATAGAATAATTACTTTTTATTTGCAAGAACATCTGTTAATTCCCACTGGAGACTAATGGTTCTAATTTTCACTTGTTTCACGTTCAAAATGTTAGAAAAGATATCCGTAAAATAATGTTTTCAGCTTGTTTATGTATGGTTCTGTTATTTTCCTTTTGTGCCTGAATGTTTTTATAAGTGCAGTCTATTTGGATTTAATAAACGTAAACAAAATAGACACAATTGTAAAAATAAAAACCTTACTTTTGGAAAATAAAAACATTGTATAAATTATCTAGATGCTGTTTTGCAATAGTTGTTTACGTGACCTGAAACTCAATTTTTAAATATGCCATCGAATAGTCTCATTGTCATTTATCATAGGTTGTAAAAGTATTTTTTCCTTACATAATAGCTTAAAATATATGTGCTGAGTTTTCTCTTTTTTAAACTTTTGTTGTTTCAAACGTTCCCCCAACGTGTAGTTTCTTCAAAGCAGTACCCCATGCATGATTTCGATTATGGAATTCTCACATCTGTTACCAACTTTACTTACGTAAACTATTTTTATTTGAAATGTTTGTCACTGAAGGAAAACAAAGAAACTTCTCTAAATTATGTCAAACAAAGTAAACAAGTCAATTTGCCTGCCAAAAAAACCTCCTAACAGGTCGATTCCACTTCATAGAAACTAAAACTAATCAGACCAAATGTTTTTATTGACTCTGGTGAGACTATGATTCATCTGCTAATCTGCATGTCTCTGTAATATAAATGAGTCAATCAGTTATATAACTGTTCAATAGAATTAAGGCTGTGAATTTTGGATGCGGTACACAGCGAGTAAAGAAAAGAAAATAATGAATTCTTGTTTGTTTGTCTTGCGTTATGTTTCATTAAATATAAACAAAGTTAAGATATGAATAGTATATTGTTTTATCCAACAAAAACATAATAATTGTGATATGTCTCATTTATAACCCTGCAAACTACGTATAACAGAAACAAAGAAATGGCGTATTGTAATGTGTTGCTTTTGAACTGTAGCAAGCAATTCATGATCAGATGTTTAGAATGTTGGTTGCATTCTCTTCAGATGCTAATTGATTTCCTTGACATCTCTTTTTAGTCTGGCACAGTGCCCGCCTAAGTACTTTGTCTGACCTTTTAGACCTCATGCCAGATATCGATTGAGAATCTACAATAGCAACGTTGTATCTTCTCTTCAATCTTTGATAATCTGCCAACAAGAGAGAGACAGGAAGTCAATCGGTTGCAAATGTTCTATTAATGTCTGTATATTAGTATATCCTTATGGGAGTAATGTAATTTGTATTGTTAAAATATCCCATGCAGAGAATTATTGTATAAAATGTATCTATACACGTTCAGTTTAATAAAAATTAATAAGTAGAATACATTTTTTTGGCTTATATACATCAATAATCATTCGATGAAAACCGTGCAGTAATGGACTTTGAATAAGACATTGGTATGTACTGTTTAAATGATACATTTTTGTGAAACAACCATCTGTGTTGCTTTTATTGAATGTTAAGCATATTAATTGTAATTAAAATATTCATCTTTATATGAAAAAGAGGGGGCAATAGAGAAGGGGATACACAACTATAATCCACACCAGCAGATGCAAGGAGTGATTATGGGATAGTATCGCAGATGGGAGTGCAATGCCACCTCGGCATACGTTTGTGATTTGTTTCCTGTATCACTGAACTGAGGGATTAATAATGGAGCAGAGTGCACATCTTCCGCCAATTAAAATATTGTCTCAAGGACATCCTTCCAGTGCTTCATAAACTTTGGGGGGGATGGTTACTTCGGGGGAGCTCAGTATCCTACAGAAGATAGAGATGCCACACTGTACTTGATAGTCCTTGTGAGCAACAGGTTTCAAAATATGTGGGTTCTCTTTGTAGGCCTTTCCATCCCTGTTAAGGAATTATACTGGTGTTTGATGTGTAGCATGACCAGAGGTGTATCAGTTCTGTTCCCCAGAAGCGACTCTAAAGTATGCAGGCCAGTGGGTTCACAGATTTAAGTCAAGCAGATTATGGGGCCTTCTCCCAGAAACCCCAGAGCTGTTGTGTGTCCCTGGTGGAAAGTCTGGGTTGAAAGAAAGCATGAAAGAACCCTGAGTAAAAGGATAGATCAAATGTATTACTTCAGTAGAACCATTTAGTCAAAGTAGCCCCAATATTGGGATGGCAGAGTAGAGCTGAACTCCTGTTCCTCTTATCCAGCCATAACACAGCTGGAAGGGTTCCCTGTGATTCTGCCATTTCCAGGTCAATCCAGTGCATCACCCCCTCCTTTGCCTACCAGTCCGTTATTCATAAGAGGTGGGTGGCTAAGTAGTATTTGTCAAATGAGGGAACACAAACCCTGCCCAATAGCTTGGGCAGCCACAGTACTTCCAATCTCAATCTGGGCCCCAGGGCACAAGTCACTTGTTCCCACAAGGAACTATCCAGTGACCTAAAAAATCCCTTTAGGAGTTTAAGCAGAATTGTTTGCATCAGGTAAAGTATCTGGAAGAGCAGATTCATGTTGATAATGTTTAGGCGCACAAACCATGGCATGTAGAATGGACTCTCCGTAGTAAGGGTAGAACATTTCTCGGGTACAGTTGTGTAGAATCCTTATGAATCCAAATTCCCAAATACTTGACAACTTTGGGACACCATTTAAATGGGATCTGAGCCTGTGCCTGTGCTTAACCAGTATTGTGAGACAAAAACAAGAGTAAACAAAACTAAACAGAGGCTATAAAATTTAACATTTACATTTCCCCCCACCACCCAGAGCCCAGCAGCCTGTACCAGATCCTGAGTACTCCATAGGAATCAGGCAATAACCCACAGTACATAAGCTCTTCTTTTACCCCCCTTCTCCCCACCACTCTACCTTATCTATAAATTGGAACACCATCCCTTCCACCTGACAGCTTATGATTATGGGTTAAGCACACACAGAATCAATGCATACACCTGTCCTGCAGCCCAAGACGCTGTCTATCACTACCCCAAAGAGGGTGTGCCCTCCGAGCAAATGTTTTTTACACTTGTTACTCTTATTATTTTAATTTTATTTTTGTATTATTATTGTGTCCTCCACCCCTAATTTCCTTGAGATGAAAATGTGTCACCCCCTATCCACCCACCCATCTCCCTCTCCTTTCAACCTGCCCTCAAGAACCCCAAATGAAATACTGAGTTGGAGTGTAGGAGTATCTTCCATTGATACCTTTCCAGGTAACAGGGCATCCTCCTTCTAGGTGGTTTACCCTTACTTCCAGCAAAAGTAGTGATGAATCTCCTTGTCTCCCCCATGAATAAGTATAACTTTGCTTCTGACTGTCACCCCTAATTCTCACTCCTTGTCCAAGCATTAGTCCCAGACACTTACTGTAAGAGCCCATAGACCCCTACCCATATGGTGAGATTCCATGGGTTTCAAAAGACATAGATTTCTCACAAAAAGCATACCCTCCATGGAATTTTTGCAGGTGTAAAAGTGGAGTAAATCCCATGTACATTATCCTACTACTCAGAGCTGTTGTAAAATCCCAGGACTGTGTGTCCTCAAACTGTTTGCCCACTGAACATCTGCTAGGTAGAAACTATCGCCCACTCAATTCTCTCTCATGGACATTGTGAGCAAAAACCTTTAACCCCTTAAGGACCAAACTTCTGGAATAAAAGGGAATTATGACATGTCACACATGCCATGTGTCCTTAAGGGGTTAAACCTGCCTAAAATTAATTATTTACTTACTAATCTGAATCGACCCTCATTTTGCATGTTCTTTCTTACCATCTTAACCATGCTCGACCACATTGCCTTCCTCATTGTCTTTCTAATTAATGACTACTAATTAATGACCTATACCCCTGTACTAATTGCTATAGACAGGTGGTACCTTAAATACCTTAATATTTCCTAATACATATTTGTATCTTTAAGACATAATTGCCACTGAAATTTACCTGTATTAGCTGGTTTCATCCATGTTTGGAAAGAGCACCAGTAAAGTTATTTACGTTTAAATTTTAGCTTCAGTAATGTAGTCTACTTTGTTTCATCTAAGTGCATTGATAGTCCATGTGTAAGCAAAACAGAATGACTCCTTTCTGTCCATTTGGCTGCATTCCAACACGACGTGAATGGAGAGACAGCTGACAGATCAACCACAGCAGAGCATGTGTGGGAGAAAGGGAATAGCTTTGATTTAAATTAAGACTGTGTTCCTTTAGCACATGGATCCTCAAACTCTGGCCCACCAGATGTTGCTGAACTACAACTCCCATGATTCTCTGGCTATCTATGTAATTCAAAGAATCGTGGGAGTTGTAGTTCAGCAACATCTGGGGGGCCGGAGTTTGAGGACCCATGCTTTAGCATAACATACAGAAATTAAGAATCTTAATATACCATTCAACTATAAGAACTTTGAGAAGCTACAAAGCTCTCTAAATCAATTTTTTTTTATTCTAAACATTCTATTCATTTACTCTGTAAATCTAAAGTCATGCCCAAAAAAGGTGCTCTTCAAAAAAAACTATAGTATTTATCCATTCTTCACCGCGGACCAAGGAAGGTTATTGTACTAGTAAGTCACTACGTATGTATATATTACGTGTTTAATGATAGTCATGTGGGTGCCATGTGTGAGAATGTAGTTTTGGTCTTTCAACTTTTGTGAGTTGAAAATAGGAATAATACTTTTCTTTTGAAGGCAAGATGAAGAGAAAATTGGATTGGGTAAGACAATGTCACACAATTTTCAAGTGAGCTCATAGGAAAAAAGTCATAGTAGGGTAATTTGTAAAGATTACTTTTTCGGTTCACCAGAAAATAGCTACTCGAAAGCAATGTCATAGACATTATATGAATTTTACAAATAATTTTAGAAATGCACAATGTATAACAAACAAATTATCTTCTGCATATACACACCCTTATACATACACTCATCCTCTTTAATGTGTATTCATACTCCTACGGGTATACACACACTTACCACCAAATATAAATACATGTATGAACCCACTCACCAAGCAGTGATACAGAATTCAGCACACATATCTCTATAAATGACGACACACTCACCCCATACATTAATACGAACACATACTTTACACTTGCACTCATATCTTAATACTTGCACACTCAGCCTGAAAAATGCATTCATGCACACAATCGTTTTCATATACAAATGCATGGACATACATTCAATACACTAATGCTCTCACAAATTCTGGTAGGTGTTGCAATAATGATTAGACAATAACAGGTGCTGAAGAATTTAACTCATTTTGAATTCATCTTCAGACCTCTGTCCAAACTCACTTCAATCTAATTCACTAGTGAAGCTCAAGGATTAGTGATAACTCAAAAAATGATAGTTAAACATCTCCAAATGAGAGGATAGCAAGGTACCATTTAAGCAAGTAATTGAACCTGTTTTAGCACTGATGCAGTTTACCCTTACACTCTGCCTTAATAAAGATATATACTTAAATATTTGCTTTTTATATGGTATCATGAATTCTAATAATTTAATATGTGTGTTTTTTTTATCAGTTACAGTTTGATGGTAATCAATGACAGATAATGTAAAATGCAGGTTTTTTTGTGTACATGGCTTTATTAATTCCTTTTCTACGAATCCACTTTGTACAGTGACTCTACAGTCTATAAGTCTATCAATTTCAACCCATTCCCCTGATTTGCAAAACCCTCCACAAATGTGCTACCTTTTACTTTTTCTTTTATAAAAGCGCATTCAAGATTATCTCCAATTGAGGCAAAGCCATATTTAGAATTGACACTGTTATTCTTAGAACAACAGCATTTTGTAGTCTTGTTTATTAAAAGATACAATGTAAAAGAAAAATGTGAAAATGAAAAATAAAAGTCATATACAGTTCTGTAGCTTAATTGTGGGTATATTTCCTCCATAGAATATATGAAACAAAAATGATAAGAACTGCATAGTGAAGCATTTAATTTCCAACATATAATAATGTAGATAATAGATGTTTACACTCACATTTATTTGAGCATTTATCTGCTCAATATAGAACAGGTACAAATATACAGCTGTACAATCCTTACATCTGGATATCCTAACGAGATGACAGATCTATATAACAGTGCAATATAATCTGTCGATCACTAGGAAAGGGCTGTATACTAGAGGATTATACAGACTCACATGGTCTTGATACAACCTGGCTCTAAATAAAACAATGTATGTGTTACTAACGTTTGCACAAAGTCCAGCTCTCAC